ATCGAGAAGAGCTGAGAAGACAGCGCCGCTCCTCGGTAAGTGTGAAACGAACCAAACTGTTGCTTACGCAGGAACTCATCTCCAAAACAATTAAGAATATCAATCGATGTTCGGCGGACGATTTACAAATTCTGAGCCGTGAAACCATCTTCAAAAAGAATTTACATCGTGAAATTGCCCGCCAACGACATCGTAACTATTTGCATATGCTGCGAATGCAAAATCAACAAAAGGAATTAGCCGAATACAATTGCCATCAATATCAGCACCATCCACATCAAGACCAAGAGAATTATAATGAGGTCCAGGAATTGTGTCAGAAATCTTATAATGCCGCATCATCGCAGCCCATGGAAGTTGCAAATTAATCGTAATAGTAAAAAATTATTCAATATATGTACATTATAAATTAAAATACATAATATTTTTAAGTATAAACAAAAAATTAAAATTTGAATTTATTATTGTAAGATATAAATGTAAATAACTAACGTTAAATATTAAAAAAATATACTCTTAAAGAAGAATAAAAATATATAAAGGAGGTGTACATTTTTTGGACATAACTCCTATAAATACCCTTGAACGTAATTACAAAGAAGTTATACTAAACTAAAAATATTCGTATGCGGAAAGGGAATAAAAAAATGACTATTTTCCGAAATTTCTTTCTTATTTTCATTACCCAGATTAAAAATAGAACGGAATTCTTATTATATATTTTAGCAAATACGTTCCACATTAAGTTGCATTTAGCGCTTTTCGAACACATAAGTACACATTTTCATTACCAAAAACCCTTTGGTACTTCTTTCTAACTCTCCGTCAGTGACACATATTCTAAATTTTAGGTTTTCAGCTCTCTCCGTTACCCCAATCAAAATGTAATGCATTTTATATTTATTTCTTTTTACTATTCGTACATATAAATTCGTGTTTCCATAGCTTAATACTACACTTCAACAGTAATCTAAATTCCAAATCTAAGGATTCAACCAAATCGATTTTTTTTTCAAAATGGCAAAAAATACAAAGAAAGGCCACATTTAGACTATAAATCCAGAAACTGCAGAAATAAAAACTGCAAAATCAAAAATGACGCGTGAGTGACCAAATTTTGAAAATGCAATAATAATGCTTGATATCTCTTATTCAAGTAGAGTATATAAAAAGTTCAAAATATTCACACAATTTGCAGAGTTGTCTCGAAAGATAGAAACCGGAGTCCCTCAAATGTTTTTTACCACTGATAGTACTCCTAAAGTTCTATAAAAAATTATTAAAGGAGAAATGTAAAGAAATGCAATTGTTTTTGATTTATTTAACATTTAAAGTTTGATTTTGCCTCTGAAAGCCGTGAAAGTGACTGCGGAAGTGCCCATATTCCAAACCCACCTCAATATTCCAAACCTGCTTTCAATCGTAAGTCTAAATTTAAGAATTCCAGCTCTGTCTGTTCTCTAAATTGTACCAGATGTGGTATAATTATGTAGTTTTCCTACACTCCCACAGTAACATAAGTTGCAACTTTCAGGATTCTATTTCTATCCGTTCAAGTTATACCAAATTTTGTACCCATAAGCACGAAGTTCCAAAACTCCAATAATACCCTTAAGTCCACATTTTAATATTCCAGCTCTATCCGTTCACTAACATCGAAATTGTACCAAATTTAGTACCATTTATGACTTTTTGTAGACGAGTTTCTTAAACTACCTCAATTCCACACGGCAACAGTAATTTTAATCATAAATTATACCATATTTAGTACCATTTAGTACTTTTGTATTTATGAGTTTGAACTTCCAATTCCTGTACAGTAATTTTATTTTCAAATATAAGTTTTCCATCTCCATCCTTTCACTCAAATCTAAATTGTATTAAACATTTAGCAACATAATTACCCCTTTTCAAAACTACCACCATTGCTCAATCCTACACTCTAACCTTAATTTTAATTCCAAATTTTAGGATTCCCGCTTAAACAAAACGAATTGTACCATATTTAGTACTATTTAGTGCTTTCATATCCATTAGTACTAAATTCCAATAATGCAATAACCCTGTTATGTTCATTCCAAATTTAAGTATTCCATCTCTATCCGTTCACACAAATCTAAATTGTGCCAAATTTAATATCATTTAGTACACATATTTACGAATTTTCAATACTACCGGAATATCTCAATCCTGCTCTCCAACTGTAATTTAAACTCAAAATTTCAGGATCTCAGCCCTATCCGTTTACATAAAAACAATTTGTAAACTATTTGGTACTATTTAGTACTTTTTGTTTCGACAATAAAGAATTTTCTAAACTCCCTCAATCCTACACTTCAAGAGTAATTTTAATTCCAAAATTCTGGAGTCCAGCTCTATCCGTTCACACATAATCAAGTTGTACCAAATATAGTACCATTTAGTACACATAAGTACTATGCTTCCATATCTCAATTATATATTCCAACAGCAACCATTATTCCAAATTTTAGGTTTCCAGCTCTCTCCGTTCACCTATATCCAAATTGTACCAAATCTAGTGCCGTACAAATCAATTCGAACTTCGAAATATGTATCTATAGCTCAATCTTCAACAGTAACGTTAATTCCAAATTTCAGGTTTTCAGCTCTATCCATTCAAGTAGAATCCAATTGTACTAAAGTTAGTACCATATAGCACTTTTCGTACCAATAAGTACGAATTTCGTAAACTACCTCAATCCAACACTCCAACAGTAAGTTTAATTCCCAATTTGAAGACTCCAGCTCTATATGTTCAACTAAATCGAACTTGCACCAAATTTAGTACCATTTAGTACTTTTCGTACACATAAGTACGATTTTTAAAGCTACCTCATTCATTTTCAGGATTCCATACCTATACACTCAACTAACTGCAAATAGTACCAAACTTAGTACCATTTTGTACTTATTATACATATAAGTACGAATTTATTAAAACATTTCCATACATCAACACCACTTGCCAACCTGCATTGATTTGAATCATACCCATCAATAGATGGCGCTGACGAAGAGATCTTAAAATATGCATGCCTCAATTCTTTTCGCCATAACTTTTTTCGTATAGCAGATATTAAAATTTATAAAATTTCATGTTATTGAAAATTAAATTAAGTTTTGAGAAATGGCCATAGCAACTCCGGTAACCGCTCTTGAACCTGGCTATAAATAAGATGTTCTAAACTAAAAAATATCTTCAATACCAATGATTTTCTTCAGCGTCATCTATTGAATGGGAGATTCAAAAATCGATTTTGCAAAATTTAAACGTCATTTGTTTTTCCTTAGGTCAAAAATTATGACCTAATCTTTTATATGCCACCATTTTTGTTCAAATGCGATTATCTGATTTGCATGATTTGAATCAGTAGATGGCGCTGACGACGGGTTTATAAGAATTACATACCTCATTTATATTATTTAATAAAAGTGGCGTCACATAAAAGTGAAATAATTAAAATTTTAAAAACGGTTGAATATTTATATGAAATTGGAGTTTCAAAATTAGGTTTATGATGTATTAAATATTACATTGTATGGGAAGTACCAGAAGGAGTAGACCGATAGGTCCCATCTACGAACTTGATTTAAGTTTTAAAGAAATACTACGACGTATGAATTTGTTTCAAAGAAGACATTCTATACGAATTTTCAAAGTTTTGGTAATTTTATTTATTTTAAAAATTTAAAATCTAACAACATACAAAAGGTGTTGGACCTAAAAGTATGCTATAATTTTCTCTACAAACCAGCAGACAAGAAAAATTGCCGTTTTTAAAAATCAATTTTTGTCTGGTTTTTCATTTTCATGTAATAGGAGCCCAGCACCAAACAGTAGGTATATTTCATCATCAACGTTGAATTCAAATGCAAATAACTCAGCGACTACTTAAGTGATTTTCACAAATGTTACATACATGGTTCAAGGGAATTCTAAAGTTTTATTCCACATTTAATTTATTATGTGAAGGTTTAAAGATATTCATAATATAAGCGATTTTTTTATAAATGTAAACCAAGCAGTATAGTTTGGGTAGGTGAACATTTTTTCCTATAAAAAATATTAATATCGATCTTTTTGGAGGTATTTCACCCATATAATAGATGATGGGCGCATATTCGATATAAATTTCTAATCCCGTTTAATATATATTTTTTGTCCTAAATACATTTTCCACCTCATGGTGGAGGGTGTAAAAACGTGTAGGCTTAGCTACTAAAAATTAAATTTCGATGGTGACACAATTGCTCATTAGTCAATACTAAGAATTCAATTTAACCCAACTACAAAGAATATATATTTCTAATTACAACAATCGATTACAACATAACGTCAATGGCCTTAGATAAACCATAAGACACCTTACCAAATACATACATTAATACATGACATGTAATAACTTATCGACAATATATCATGATCAAGCCTCGGGCACTATCATGACCTACGACTGTCCATAATCTAAATAAATATTTTTTTTTTATTATGACAACTTCTGCATCATTCCCGCTGCCAAACTTCCTTTTTTCGGCAAATGCAAATGACCAAATATATGAACCGTTAAACGGACAAAAATCAATAACAACAACAAAAACGACAACAACAAAACAGCAGGGGTAGCAGCAGTAAACAATGAGTGATCGCTTATTAAAGCCAACCGTTTAACATAAAAACCCACAAAAATTACACGACACCACGACGTGACATGAATTCACCGATGAAGGTGGCCAAAAAAATAATTGTTGCCACTGCAGTAGTTCGCCGTACTGTGGAAGCACGTTGTGGTGGGTGTCTAAGCGAGGGCGCCTCTGCAACGGTGGCTTCTTTATTTATATTGGCTAAGGTCAGTTAGTTGGCCACCATCACCATTTTTCAATATAAATACTCAAAGTGTCACATGAAAATAAATCATATTGAATTAGCATTTCAAAGAATCATAATCGCAAAACCGAAATCAAATCAACAGCAAGAAAAAATGTTCAAATATGTAAGGATTTAATTAAAAGCCTAAAAGGGATTAGCAAAAAATTACTAATTTTTTAACATTAATTTTAGACCATTGTTTTGTTTGCCCTCGTTGCCTGTGCTGCTGCCAAACCGGGTCTCATTGGAGCTCCCTTCGCCTACCATGCTCCAGTTGTTGCCGCTGCACCCGCACCAGTTATCACCGCCACCAGCAGTCAAGTTGTGGCCCGCACCCACAATGGTATTGTACGGGCACCCATTGTAGCTCCTGTGGCACCCATTGTACCACGTGTATTTGCACCAGCTCCAGCACGTGTTATCGCTCCCGTTGCTGCTCCCATTCCAGCTGCCTATCATCATGCCAAATATGCTGCAGCTCCAGTAGTTGCCCGTTATGCTGCCCCTGTTCCCCATTTCCATGCTCCTTTGGTAGCTAAATATGCTGCCCCAACTCCATTGGCATACAGTGCACCTTTGGCTTATCCTTCACCCTTGGCATATGCTCCTCAATATGCCTGGTAATTACATAAAGGGAAGGGGTAAATCTCCTCCTCTTGAACTGTATTTTATTATTTGCTGTTATTTTTTGAATTGTTATTTGTTGTAGTTTAGTAATTCCTATTTAGAATTAGTATTTTTACAAAAAAAAAAACAAATAAATTATTAAAAAATTTAATAAGAAATGGCTATTGTTGGAAGTCACAGAAAATTGTCATTTCCTCGACAATAGCATCTACAATCCGTAAGGATTTGAGTGTCACTATGCCGATTGTGTAAAAAGAATAGGGCAGCTACAATAATAATAACAACAAATGATTAGATCGTCCCAACTTTCAGAAATTGGTTTAACAAAATTTGAGTCTAGAACGACCCGGCTGTGACATTTTATAACTTCAATATACAGGGTTGCCCATATTCGACGGACCCATGTTTTTTTTTAAATCAAAGAAAAAAAATCTGGCGGTTGGCAATGTTACTCATTTAATTTGTTCCAAGTAGATTTAATTACATCAATTTTTGAATATGATATCTCTCAAATGGCCGCCTCTGGCGTTGATGACGTATTGTGCCCTTTTTGCTGCATTTTCCATCGTTTTTGCCAACATTTCGGCCGGAATATCGGCTATTTCTTCTCGAATGTTGTCCTTGAGCTCTTCTACGGTCCTTGGCTTGTTAACGTAAACCTTTGACTTCAAATATCCCCACAAGAAGAAGTCAGGCGGCGTCAAATCCGGCGAATGTCCAAATCACCACTTTTCGACATCAAACGGCCCAAAACAAATTCTGCAGAAAATCGATTGTTATGCGACTTGTGTGTGGTGGAGCGCCGTCTTGTTGAAACCAGAACTGCCTCGACGAATAATTGGCATCACAAAATTGGTCATCATGTCGCGACAACGCTCCTGATTGGTGGTAACAATGACCGTTTTCGAACTAAAGCCGCACCAAACTGTGACTCTTTCGTCATGAAGAGGCACTTCTTGAATCTCCTGAGGATTTTCAGTGGCGTAAAAACAGCAATTTTGCTTATTTCCGGTCCCATTCAATGTGAAATTGGCTTCATCGGACATGATAATTTTGTTCCAAAATTGCTCGTCATCTTCGGCCATTTCGATGACTCTTTGGGCCCATTCCAATCGACGAGGCTTGTCCGCAGGCAACATTCTTTGCGTCAATTGAATTTTGTACGGGAATAAATGCAAATCAAGGCGAATAATCCTCTCAACACTGGCTCGTACGGCAGCGATATTCTCGGCCGATCGCCTCGGTCGACTTTTATATGGCCTCTTCGGATTAGAAAGAGCCTTACCAGTCGAAACTTTTTCGTATAAACGCTTAATGGGGTTCTTAGAAGGCCACTTCTCACATTTTTTAATATTTTAAAAGCACGTTGAGTTTTCACAATTGACTTCTGTTGAATGTAAATTTCAACTATTTCAGAGCGCTCGCGTGGCGTGTATTGGTTCATGGTCAAAATCTGCTTGGACTGACGCTTCAAACGCGGTATGTCATTAAGCGATGTGACATCTCTGTCAAAGGTTATGGCGTTGCCAGATGGGTCCGTCGAATATGGACAACCCTGTATATGGGCAATATTGCCAATTTTTTTAAAATTCCAGCAATATTGCCAGCTCACACTATTTTTGAGATAAATTGGGTATATCTCTCTTTCGGCTTTTAATGTTTTCTTTTCGTGTTTTTGGAAGGCCAGTTCCCGTCAGTTCATCCGAAACGTAAAAAACCTTACTGATCACGGGTACCCGTGTCATTCAGTTGACAGATCAACAAATTTGATCCGAAAAATAGGTTTTTTAAAAATTTGATCGCACAAAATTGTCACCTTCGGTAGTAGCTGTGCATACTACATACACAAAATACATATCAAATTACGCAGATTCCCGACTTCAATAATCTTATAATCGACTTTTAGAAATTCCCGTATGCGTATTAAAGCAGAAGTAAAATTCAAAAAACGCTTAAAATCGAGCTTCAAAATGTCAGCATCATTTAAAGGTAGATCCAGTTAAAATTTTGGCTTCTAGTTTTACTTTGACACAAAGACTGTGAAATGAGTGGCTTAACCACAAATCCATAGAGAACATAAAAAACTGGTTCGCCTCAACCTGTTTTTACACATTTTTTACATTAAAGTAGACACAGCTTCCACCAAAATAAAGTTTGGAGGTCAATATCATGAACAGTTTGCAATGACAGATCAATTAACCCAAAACTATTCACTTTTTTCATATACTTAAGTAATTCCTGAGTTATAAAGGGGTGAATCTCCGCTTCAGCTATGTTAAAAAATTGGCAATATTTTTACTTTTCATATGATATCACTTCCATTTCAATACTCGCGATACGAAAAAAGTTTTAGCAAAGACAAATGTGTTGTGTAATTTTCATAAACCCGTCTTCAGCGCCATCTATTAATGGACATTATTCTAATTCTGTAAATCAGCTTTTTAAGGTCCAACCTTCCAAGTGTATATAATTTTTGAACAGATAATCGCATTTCTATTAAAATTGTGTGATATGAAAGAGTAATTAATCTACTATACTATGACTAGCAAAAAATCCTATAGTACAAATATTAACTCGGGAGATTGTAGGAAACTTTAATACTACATATCATATTCAAAATATAAAAATTATTGTTACTTTACAATAAAGTATGAAATTGTACCTTTCATATGACACCAATTTTATTTAAATATCTACTGTAGGTCAAAAGTTATAGAAAAACAAATGGGTTTTAAATTTTGCATAATCGACTTATGAATCTAACCATTTAATAGATGGCGCTGACGACAAGTGTTTGCCAGTGCTGCCAAAAGTAGAGAAAATCATAATTATTTTGAATGCTTTTGAATGCGTAATGATGCAGAAATAATTCGAATGGATATTAATAGTTTAGAACATGTCAAAAATTGTCTGTAAGAGTAGCCATGTTAACAGAATGCTAAACGGTACAGAGAAAAATCAAACGGATAACATCTACTTTGTAACGGATTTAATGAGGTTTTATCGGAGTTTCCTCTGTAACAGAAAAGTGAAAATCCATTCTTCAAAATCTAATTTCATATTCAATAAAATTGAATTTTATAAATTTATTTGAAGTCCCAATAATGTATAAAATTGCACCTTTCATATGACATTTTCATTTTAATATCTGTGATACGAAAAAATGATGGTGAAAAGAAATGAGGGGCGTAATTTTTATTATTCCGTCTTCAGCGCCATCTATTGAGGGACATGATTCAAATCAGGCACATCAATATTTCAAACCCCACTTTCGAAGCATATAACTTTTGAACAGATAATCGCACATCTACGAAAGTAGTGTCACGTGAAAACGTAAATAATCTGCTTAACTATCACCTGCAAATAATTTCCATTGAGTAGACCCCATCCTATATAATTACATTTTGTAAGATACCCTCTATTTATTTATACCATAATTAATAATACTCCCTGTATCATTTATTTGAGTAGACCCAATCCTGTTTAATTATATTTATGTTTATATTTTTTCTATCTTTTAATTAATATTGTAATTACAGATACTTGAGTTGATCCCATCCTTCTTGTGATAACAATTGTATTAATTATTGTTAATTAATTTTATTGTAATGATAAGTGCCTCAATTTTTGTATTTTTTTTAATTTAATACTGTTTTAATAACCACGATAACATTATAGAGTAACTTTTTTATTATTTTTTATATATTAAGCTATTCGATTATCTTAGTTGCAGTCAAAATTTTTGTTTGGGTTTCTGTGAATAATTACTACTTTTACTAGTATTGCTTGTCAAGTTAGTGAAATGTACATGTATTATTCTTGGCCCGCAATTGTTATCGTGATTGTTAAGATTTTCTTGTTTTATTTTATAGTCGAGGATTTTCGCGTTATTGTTTATTATAAGTGTAATTATGTAATTATGTAATTTCTTAAATGTGGTCTGCGGACTTTGAAATTATTGTGAATAAATAAATTAAAAAAATTAAAATAAATACAACCGATGGAAATTAAATGAAACTTTATACACATTTTATATTTAAAAGTTAAATAATTATTATTTGTTAGTTCACAAGTGTATACAATTATATCTCCCCCATGCCACGAATTTCATTTAAGTATCTACAGTAGGAAAAACAAATGAAGTTTAAATTTTGTATAATCGATTTTTGGATCTAGATGGCGCTGACGACAAATGTTTGCCAGTGCTGTCAAATTTACAGAAAATCGTTGTTATTATAGATTCTTCTTCTTTAATGCGTAACGATGCATGAATAATTCGAATGTAGTTAAGTACATCCTCTATCTATTTGTGTCCAATATTTTTTGACAAAGTTGCCACATTTACAGAAAATGACTGTTTTCTTGTATTCTTCATTTTCGGGCAATAGGTGCCCATTACCGGACAATAAGTGCATTTCGAACATCGTTAAATTCAAATGCAAATAACTCAGCAACTACTTAACCGATTTTCATAGTTTTTCGGCAAATGGTTCGTGTGAATTCTAAAGTTTTATTCCATATTGACAATACATAAAGATATGTTATATAAGAGAATTATCTTTAAATAAATATTCTCTATCTTCGAACTTGGGTTAGCTTTGGAAGAAATATTATGATGTCCAAAGTTTGGATGAAATTGGTTACTCACTTCAAGACTTATCGTGCGCACAAGAAAGCTAGACGGACATTTGTAAATTGACTCCAAATTGTCTAAAATTGATATTTTCCAAAGAAGGATCGAAAACCAATATTTCGATATGTATAAAAAAATATATAATGAAAAATCCGTTTGAAACTACGAAATAGGTAACCATATATTTGTCATAACCTTATGGCGAGAATTTCAGAAGATTTCATACTTACGCACCAATGTAACGTTTCAAGACAAGTTTTGTCTGGGACTTCATTAACTCTTATATATAAGGTGTTCTCTAAATAATAGCAGTGTTCGTTGCTTCGGATGTTTGATATTTATTTTAATAAAAAAAAATACATATGTGTATTAAATTGTATTTTTTTAACACAACCGATATTTATAGACAACGTTCGGGTTTGACATTGATGCACAATTTTGTATCATCATGGTAATATTGACCACTGGGACATGATTTTAGAATGCCATCCAATATTCCATTCAAAATGTAACACATTACGAATCTGCAAGAAAAAAATATATATAGTATTTACCGTCAGGATATAAAAAATGGGTTCGAGGATAGAAATAACTTTTCAATTTTGTCAAGTCAGTTAAAAATTATGTTTACAAAATGATCAGAAGTTTTTTTGTTTCACACTGACTTAAAAATCAATTTAGGGCTATTTAAAAATTAAGCAGATCGTATTGACTTACTTCGTACAATCAGCATCGTATATATACGAACCACTGGCACCAGCATCTTGGCAAATTTGTTTCGGATCTCGAGGAGGATTTGGAAGTGGTGCTTGAGTTGTTGTCGATGTTATTACTGGTGTTGTAGTTGTTGTAATCGTCGGTCTAGTTGTAGTGGTAATTTCAGGAATATTTGGATTCTCAGAAGTTGTTGTTACGGATGCTTCTGGATTCTTAGTCGTTGTTGTAACTTCGATCAAACAATCACTTGGTCTCTCCGCAGTACAGAATTTCCGCTCACCATCAAAATATTGGCCAGCAGGGCAATATTTTATCATACCTTGTAATGTTACACCATAACACATGATGTATCTAAAGGGGAGATTAAGAATTACATTACGGGAGAGGACATTTTACAAAGGCAAACTTACGTATTACAGCTTGGATCATAATCGGGTTTGTAGAAGCCCGTTGCTCCCTCATCTTGACATAATTGATTGGGGTCACGTGGTACTGTTGGAGTTGGCATGGTAGTCGTAGTTGTTGTTGTAGTGGGGATGGGTGTGGTCGATGTTGTTGTTGTGGTGGGAATCATTGTTGTTATTGTTGTCGTCGTCGTTGTAGATTCTGTGGTAGGTTCTTCTGTTGTGGTGCTGGTGGTGGTAGTTGGAATTGTTGTGGATTCTTCAGTTGTGGTTGCAATGGTGGTCGGGGACATGGTTGTGCTCTCCGTGGTAGTCTCCTCAGGAATTGTTGTGGTTTCAATTATAGCTTCTGTAGTTGTAGTTGGCTGTATTGTGGTGGTTGTTGTTGTTGGTAATTCAGTTGTTGTTGTTGGCAATTCAGTTGTAGTTGTAGGTAATTCAGTTGTTGTTGTCGGTATTTCGGTTGTTGTAGTTGGTGATTCAGTAGTTGTTGTAGGTAATTCGGTTGTAGTTGTGGGTAATTGAGTTGTTGTTGTTTTTGGTATTTCGGTTGTTGTAGTTGGCAATTCAGTGGTTGTTGTTTCTGGTTCCTTAGTTGTTGTAATATTATCTTCATCGGGGAGAGGTGGAACACAACTTGGCTATAATAAGAACAGAACAAAAATTAAACCAGTAAGGAAAGCTGTAAAGTCGGATTTGGCCAACTATATAATGTCCTTCACCATTTTGGGTATATGTCAGTGTACCCTCGAAGGAACATTGACATGAAATTGAACGAACTTAATATATGTGATCGACTAACATCAATCCATACACATGCTTTTCTGCAACCTATGCTAAATTTCATTTCATTCGGGCAGGTTTAGAGTCGTTTGCGTAAAATGGGACTAATCGATTTAACGCAAATATGATACACCCTATAGGTATGCCGCACTGTTCAAAATTTAATCCCAATCAGACACCCGTTAGAAATATATATGAAAGCTATGTCTGCATCTGCATGACATTAAATCAGATGAAAATATATATGGGAGCTATAACCAAATCTGAACCGGCTTCAACAAAACTTGACACACGTTATACTATAGTAACTTCAGTACGCTGTGCAAAATTTTGTGCAAATCGGCCTAACTTTGGGTCTTAAAATCGGACAAAAATATATATGTGAACTACATCTAAATCTGAACCGATTTTCACGAAACTTGGCACACGTCATTCTAGACTTAATTCATTACGCTGTGACAAATTTCGTGCAAATCGAAAGGTATGCAGAGACTTTGGTACACCATTTACCCTAAGTCGGACGAAAATATATATGAGAGCTATATCTAAATCTGAACGGATTTTCTCGAAACTTCGCACATATCATTCCTGACTTAATTATCTACGACATACCAAATTTCGTGCAAATCGAATGTTATATAGGGACTTTGGTGCACCATATACATTAAATCGGACGAAAATATATATGGGGGCAATATCTAAATTTGAACCGATTTTTTCCAATATCAATAAGGTTCGTTCTTGGTCCAAATAAATGAGCTGTGCTAAATTTCATCCAATTCGGATCATAAATGCGACCTGTAATTTGTTTACAATTTAACATGGACAGACAGACAGACGGACGAACGGACAGATATGAATATATCGACTCAGAAAATGATTATATGACCTATTTTATACTCACTTTAGCCAATGTATTATCATAGCAAAAATCCGCCTTGTAATTTATATTACAAACAGTATTTGGCGGGCAGTCCATGACAAGATCACCTGGTTTAGCTACTATGGATTCTTGACCAAAACAGAAACTATAGCTTGTTTCACTAAGACATGCAAACACTTTGTCTTCATCACAGATACCACACTGAAGACCCTCACGCATTAATGCATCATTTTCGGCCAGTGGGCAACTGGCAACATTGTCACCATTCGGGGGATAGCAAATTAATTCACCGCCCGTGCAGATATAATCGCCAGGACATGTTTTATACTCAGCAGTGGGAACACCTATGTGGAGAATAAAAATAATAATTTTTTAATATGACGAAGGTGCGAAAATTGGATATATAAAAATAATATTGTAAAAGAGACCTTAAATATTAAAAATATTCAATATGAAACCAGGATACCCCCAGCCTTATGAGGTCATATACACTTTGTTACGGCAAAAATGCGCCTCATCGAAATCCGTTCCAGACAATTTGAAGCCGATTTACGAAAATCTCCAAAATCCCTTTTTGTACACTTACCATCTACACACAACGAATAATGATTAAGACCATGACAGGCTACTTGATTGCTCTCCTGGCACACATTACAATACGCATTGATGGTGGTCAGGGAAATGGCGAATAGCACCTATTAATATTATAAACAAAACATTATTTATTTTCACTGTATAAAAATCAATTCCTTTCTTTTCACTTACACTTGCTAATAGAAATGTCATAATTTCTAGAAATTTTCAATTTTTTTGGATTAATTTTTCACTTGTTCACCGTTCACTTGTTTGCCGTTCCGAAAACTAGTACAACCTACAGCAACACTTGGGAAATTAATCAAACCTTTTTCGTAAAATTGAAGAGTTTTATGAAATTTTATCGTATCGAATCGCTTATCGAGATAACATTTGCTGATAGTTTATATCTTTATGTTATTTATCACAGATTTTTTTTTATGCGATACGGAGAAACAAATCATTTTACTATATTTGGGTTATTGATTAATCAAAATCTATGGCCGTGCATTTTGGGTACAACAAGAAGATCTCCATTTTAAATTATCAGGGAAAATAATTATAACAAGTGAAAATGCGTTAAGTTCGGTCGGGACGAACTTTGGATACGCTCCACCATAGATATACGGGCTGTTACTTGAAATAAAAATATAGGGAACATACCAAAATGTGTACCTACAACGACATTTCTACAAACCGATTATGGTTCTAAATATTGGTCCTAGACCCGATGTTTCTTTGGACCAAATTTGTTTCAAAATTGTTTGATTTCATATGTTCTAGTTTTTTTTCGTATCTTCGGCAGATGAAGATAGCGTGATTACAACAGACGGACGGACGGACATGGCTAGATCGTCTTTGAATTTTACCCTGATCAAAAAAAAAATATATATATATACTTTATATGGTCGGAAATGAATATTTCGATGAGTTACAAACGGAATGACAAAATTAATATACCCTACTATGGTGGAGGGTGTAAAAATGTGAGTAGGTTATATCGCAATCGATTTTGTTTACCGGCAACAGTTTTCAAAGTTCATATAGGTATTTCGGATATCTGGAAAGTTTTGAAAATGTAAATATTGTATTAGATTTTTTAGAAGTATATTGATGTCACAAAAAGAAGGAAACAAACTATAAAAATCCACTAATAAAATCAAGGAACAGATTGATAAGACTGCCCCATTGACTTCAATAAAATAGTGTATTCAAAATATTCAGTTGAAAATTAAAATTACTTATCAAACCATCTCATATTTTGTGGAGTAAGACGAATTTTATGGATGATACTAAAAATGTGTATGAGAAAAGAGATTTTATTGAAAAATATATATTTGATTAGTATTTGAACAAATTATATGAACCCCTGTTGAGTATTTCCTGCGAAAAGTTTTTTTTACTAATTTGGAATCTGAAGTAAAATATTATATCTATCTCTTTTTGAAAATGCTACTATATCTCTATATATATATATATATATATATAAATTACGTGCATGTTCGTGATCGCTACAATCACAAACTACTGCACCGATTTTGACAACATTTTATGTACATGCTCTATGGGGAGTGAGATGTGTTTCTGTATAGTTTGAAGTTCATCCGACAGATGGCGCAATATTTAGTTAGTTAGAACCACTGCATCGATTTTGACCAAACTTTATGTATATGCTCTATGGGGCGTGAGGAGTATTTCTGTTTAATTTAAATTTCGTCCGACAGATGACGCTTTATATATTTTCTTTGCGTTTTGCCCGATTAGAGATTGCGTGCTTAATTGACGTTAAGTATACCGACACCGATTCATACATAACCTGTTTCCGTGAATAGCGCGCGGGTGTCAAACGAAAAAAAACTTATCAAATTGAAGTAAAATTAATTTAAATCTTCTTATAATTGAGAACGTAGAGACCGATTTGACTAAACATTTCTTTCATTTATCTTTAATTGAAGTGGGAAGGATTTTATGAAAGAAATTTTTGGGAAAATACGCGAAAATCTGGAAAACACCTTTTTAAGGAACGACTGGACCGATTTGCCTACAATTATATGGGTCATATACCATAAAAAGTACTAAAAATTTATTTCAGTTATCTGTAATTGGTTTGAGAAAGTTTTTATGAAAGAAATTTTTGAGAAGAATATGAACTGCTGAATTTGTTGTTTTTTTTCGATGAGAAAACATTCGTTGTCCAGCAGGTTGTAAACAAACAAAATGATCGTGTTACTTGCCAAAGAGGTCAGCTGAAAATATGCACTTTCGGTTGGCTATCAAAACTCAAGCGCGCTGGCCATGGTGATGATGTGGTCCGCCATAACAGCCGATGGTCGCTATCCGCTCGTATTAATCTGCCGTGACATTAGAATAAATGCCGAATTTTATTACGAAAATATTCTGGATGGCGTATTAAAACCTTGGGCAAGCAAATATTTTGGCCGCAGACCTTGGACATTCTAACAGGACTCAGCACCATCGAACTCAGCAAGCGACACACAAGTTAATGGTTAAAAAATGAGGTTCCTCGCTTCATTTCCAGAGCACAATGGCCACCAAAATCTCCAGATACCAATCCGTTGGACTATTGTGTCAGGAGTTTTTTTGGAAAGCATGATTGGCACTAAAAATACCAAAGTGTCGATAACCACAAGCAAGCACTTCGCCGGGAATGGGTCAAAATATTGCAGAGCAACATTCGGGCAGCGTGTGACGGTTTCATTGGCCGTTTGAAGGCCATAATTCGTGTCACAGGTGACCAATACGAATAAATCTAACCTTATTCTAAAATATGATGCTATTTGCGGCATTTGTTGCTTTCATTCAATAAAATTAAAAAAAAAAAATTATAAATTTTGGCGTTTGACTTTGTTGCAGTTTTTTTTAACTCACCCTATATGGTCTATTTAGAATATATCAATATATTGCAAATGGAATAAAAATTTAATAATTTTTGTATTGATTAGAAATTATAAAAAAAAACCTTCAGTCATCGATCCCCATACAGAAATCTAAGATTTTTGCAGTACTCTTTCGGCTAACGACAATTAAACCAAATAAGGATCAAAAGCATTTAAAAATCTTACCTTCTTATGCCAAAAATTACATTAGGCACATTTATGTGGGGCAATTGTCAGTTTTGTGTGAGCTCTCTTACATAAAATTGAGACATTTATACCATCCAGTATATTACAGTCACTTCGGTTGCTTTAAAGTTGACACCCACTGTAGTGGATATGTCATGATATTTACCTATATAAAACATTTTCGCAAAGGTCTATATCCGCCTGAGTAACGAAAATGCCAACACACATAGGAGGTTTAGGTCCCAAAAAACAGACCTATATTGAGAATCCATATTATGGTGGAAATATTTGGAACACTTAAGCATACATACAACGATATATCTGATAAACAATAAATATATTTATTTGTCATAGAACACGCTTAGAAATAGATGATAAGCACATTTCACAAAAGCGTCACAACTCTGCTGGTGTTAGGGGTGAGGTGATTGTACGATACATGACGTATTTTAAATACTATAGCCTTTGTCAGCATTTTCCATGATTTTTCTTCATATCATTTACGCACTCTTAACTACGATATAATTTTTCGTTGTTTTTGTTATTGTTATTGAAAATTGAACATAACAAAGTAATATAAAAATAATTCAAAATGATGTATGTTATCTAATACTCAATACCGCTAATCAGAAGGCCGTCGATACTTATTTACTTTAAGTAAAAAAAAAATCAAAACACTTTTCGCCAATTTGTACAATCCCTAAAATTATCTAAAACAAACTAATAAACGCATTTATTGTTTTATAACGGAGCCAAGTTATATGATCCCGTTCACACATCTAATAAAATTGGCTTAACACGGTGTTCGGTGACGACCGATGTTCTTAGACTTACAATGTTTTGTTTATTCAGACTCGTGATACGTTTTGACAAAAATAAAAATTAGGGGAGTTTACCTTTTGATTTTTTTTTATTTTATTATCGTCATAGCTATAGGAAGTTTTGAGAAATCCATGAAATGTTTATTAATAGCAACATTGTAGCTATGTTCAAATGCTATAAAACACGACGTGATAATTTATAACTGCCTACATATATATTTAATAATTGAATATACATTATTTTTATTTTTGTGTATATTGTTAAAACTTTATTTTGCGTGTATGTACATGGAGGATATTGTTTACTTCGATTTATTAAAATCCATTTCAAATTTTGTATCAACTCCATTCTAAGGGCATCCTTCAGGCTTTTGGCTAGTGCATATGCGATTGACTGGATCAAAATATTCTCCACCTGGACAGCTCTTGATTAATCCATAAATTTTGCCGCTCATCAAATAGCAAAGGACATATCTGTAATAGAAATGTACAAGAAAAGGGTCAGTCGGTATTGACGATAGATATGGACCCTAAGCCTATGACATATCGTATGTATTATACACTAATCATGACTTTGATGGATTAAGTACCAACGATGATTGACCTATGTATCCAACAGTTGCACTAAATCTATTGTTACATATAAAAATTTGGGGCTGGTAGATTTATGCCACACAGGTTCAACATTCTGTTTATTTGATGTATATGTTTTTATCAAATCCAATACTCCAGTGTATCGATGGGTACCATGTTCGATTTTCATTAGGGGTTGGTAAATATTTGGTCTGTTCCCGTACTGCAAGAATCTACTACTTTTTACTACGATAACGAATTTTCCTTTATGTTATCGAAGAAAATAGTAAAATCGTGTAGTTTTTTGCAGTACGGGAACAGACCAATTATATAATATAAAATATCGATAAAATCAGAGAAATTATCGAATTTAACCGATATGTTAGCAGTCATAACATCGCCCAGGATCTAAAACTCGACGATAAAACTGTTTTAAACAATTTACACAAAGCTGGATTCAAAAAGAATATCGGTGTTTGGGTGCCACACTAATTAACAGAAAAAAAAATATGATGGATCAAGTTTCCATCTGCGAAGCCTTGGTCAAACGCAATGAGATAGACGAATTTCTTAAACGGGTGGTTACTGGAGATGAGAAATGGACCACATACGATAACCCTGTGCCAAAACAATCGTGGTCAAAGATCGGTGAAGCACCTTAAACGTTGGCCAAACCAGGAATAACGGCCAGGAAGGTTCTGCTATGCATTTGGTGGGACTGGAAGGGAATTATTTATTATGAGTTGCTTCCATATGGCCAAACTCTAAATTCTGATCTCTATGTTCAAAAAATGGACCATTTGAAGATAGTAATTGACCAGAAACGGCAGAATTGGACGACAGGAGAGGTATCGTATTCCACCAGGACAACGCTTGTTTGGGAAGATTTAATGCATCCGCCATACAGTCCGGACTTGGCACTAAGCGATTATCATATTTTTCTTGCATGGCAAAATTTCTTTGATGTTAAAAAATCGGTATATAGGGAGGATTGTGAAAATCGACTACTGGAGTTTTTTTTACAAATAGAGAGCAGGACTTCTATGATAGAGGCATTATGAAGTTACCTTTAAAATGTTAACAAATCATACAACAAAACGGAGCATATTTGGCCCACATTCCGAAGCATGTTAAATAAAGTCCTATAGTTCATAATAATGGATTACGATTTATATTAAGCAAATTAAAATGTATACTCCTTTAGCGACATATGAAACGATGTGCCCCATCTTTGTACTTGATTTAGGTTCGGCAATATTACAATGTGCAAAGTTTGGATCAAACCGGACATTCCATTTGAATTTACAAAATATTTTAGCCTGGTGAAGGAAAGTACCAAACGAAATGGACCGATGAATCTCGTTTACCGATATGGTCTTCGTTTGGCAAAAGTATTATAATCGGACACTCGATCCGATTAATATTGAATTTAACATTTTTCGGAATTTTGACACTTTGTAGAGTTACCCGAAATGTTAGTTCGATTGACTCAACCCTTAAACAAGTTTGGAAGAAATTATAAATAAGAGATTCAAAAATTGTGATCTTTGTGGTGGAGGAACTACAAGAGGTAAACCGATAAGGCTTGCTAATTTTCAGTTTGGCCTTTGATTTACCAGATCTTCGAATTTAATTTATGTTTGGAAAAAAATAATATCGTCATATGAAATCGACGTTTTTATAAAATCGATTATTATTCCCATCCAGTTACCAGACGGACGAACAGACATTTGATAATCGACTCCGAATTGGTTGAAACGGATTTCGTCGAAAAAACTTGTAGTTTAAATCGATATCATTAGCCATAAGGATGAGGGTATAAAAATGAGCTCAGTCAAATTGTATCTCATTCGAATAACAAATTTGTTTAAAAGGGCAGACAAATGGATATGCCTAAATCAATTCAGAAAGATCTATTACTTACTTCGTACAGGTAACATCATCATCGGTTTTATATGAACCCGTACTACCAGCATCCACACAAATTTGATTTGGATCACGAGGTTCTGCAGGTGCTGCCGGGGTAGTAGAAGTAGTAGTTGTCGTAGTTGTGGTGGTTGGTGTTGTTGTAGGAGCTGCTGTGGTAGTAGTTGTGGTGGTGGTTGTTGTAATTATGGGTTCGGGTGCAGTGGTTGTAGAAGTACTAGTTGTAGAACTTCCCCCTGGACAACCTGGAGGTATTTCTGTTGAACAAAATTTCAGCACTGGATCAAAATATTGTCCAGTGGAGCAGGTGTTCAGCATACCCTTCAATGGATTACCATAGCAGACAACGAAGCTGCAAATTAAAAAAAATGTAATGTATGTATTAGTAATTTATTTGTTTCCGATTAATAGTTATTCCAAATATTTAATATGTAGCTGTCATGCATAAGGTCCTGTATAGTTTAGGTAATTTGATCCTAGGTGTATTTTCCGTGCCGAAGTAGCTGTAATTTTTGCTTTCAAGGTTTTGTTGGTTAAAACATTTTTTTGCAGACAATTTTTATATATCCGCCTATTTGCGATATTTAAATAATTTTAACAACATTTTCCAAGCGATATATGTTCAGGTGTTAATGGACAGACTAAAATTAGGGGTTCCACCTCATCATCTGTATTTTTGACACATACCCGTTATAAAGTCCCTCCCATTTTCAATATTTTAATAATTATACCCTACACAACTATGTTGTCCGGGTATTATAACTTTGCGCAGCCCAAAAGTTTGTAACGCCGCGAAATATTGGCCTAGACCCACCGATCGTCATATCTCGAATAGCTGAGTCGATCTAGACATGAGTGTCCGTCCGTCTGTCCATTATAATTTGTAAACACGATACAGGCCACAGTTATGGACCAATCTTCACGAAATTTTGCATGTAGGATGGGTTCTGGCTAATGAAGACCCCTATCGTTTACACCCGATAACTTAATAGTATATCCAAGGGGAGTGGTTGACCTTTAAATTGATACCAATTACAGTGATGTATCTTTTCGGATGTAGGAATTATACTTAAATATTTACAGGCGTCTACGTATTCTGATATTATTTACAAACCTATTTCCACATTATAGGGCGGAAATGTTGCGCTTTTCGCTTTGAAATTTTACATGAAGTTCCGGTTATGGTCGCCTGCAGTTTTCGGTGATGTTGAGATGATAATTAGGGGTTGCAATGAACCGAAAACTTTATTTTTGTCAGAGTTTCTAGTCTCTCTAGAGGCCGTTTTTATATGCAGATCCTCACATATTTTACACGGTGAAGGGGATCTGACCAAATACTTAGAAGGGTTGTTTAAATAATTATCGGTCAATATTTCGAGGGTCAAATCAACCAAAACCAAAAGTTACCATTTTTTTTTATTTTATGGCGGAAATATTCACCTCGGGTAAACAAGATTTGGAAAATATGCCAAAATTTAGAAAGTAAAGCAGTGGACCTATAATCTGTCATAATACCGCGAAATATTGCCCAGGCTCAGAATATAGAACCGCAGAAACCACATATGGTCGGCCCGTCCGACTCTTATTTCCAATCGAAGTGGCTTTTATTTGGGAATCTGGTTTTGGTGGTTAAAAACTTTGACATAACTGACCCATTTTCGATGTTTGGATGTCATAGCCGACCCCAGAGTCAGTCATGTGGTATTTCGTTTGTTCAGTAAGGAAAAGCTCCTAACAGACATTATCCAATGTAGGATAGGATGAAGACATTATTCATATAGGACCCCGAACTATTCTAAGTATTTTGATCTAAATTACTCACTCTGTGGAGGATATAAATTTCCTGTGAATCGTGCAATATTTCTATTATAATTGAAACTTACTTGGTACACGTTGGATCATCATCGGGTGGGAAAAATCCAGGTACTCCCTCGTCGAGACATATTTCATTTGGTGTACGTGGCCCGGATGGTGTTGGCAGCATCGTTGTGGTGGTTGTGATGGCTTCAGTGGTAGTTGTTGTGGGAACTTCAGTCGTAGTAGTTGTTGTGGTTGGTTCGGTTGTGGTGGTTGGCTGCATTGTGGTTGTTGTAGTGGGTTCTAATGTTGTTGTAGTAGTCGTTGGCAGCATTGTGGTTGTTGTTGTGGGCTCTATAGTTGTGGTGGTGGTAGTGGGTTCTAATGTGGTAGTTGTAGTTGGTAGCATTGTGGTTGTTGTTGTGGGTTCCATGGTTGTAGTGGTAGTAGTAGGTTCCAATGTGGTAGTTGTGGGTTCCAATGTGGTAGTTGTGGGTTCCAATGTGGTAGTTGTGGGTTCCAATGTGGTAGTTGTGGGTTCCAATGTGGTAGTTGTGGGTTCCAATGTGGTAGTTGTGGTTGTTGTTGTGGGCTCCAAAGTTGTAGTAGTAGTGGGTTCCAATGTTGTGGTTGTTGTAGTTGGTTCCAGAGTTGTTGTAGTGGTTGTTGGCTGTAATGTGGTAGTTGTAGTTGGCAGCATTGTAGTTGTTGTGGGTTCCGCAGTTGTTGTAGTTGGTTCTAAAGTAGTAGTTGTTGGCTCCAATGTAGTTGTGGTGCTTGGCATCATTGTGGTAGTTGTTGTGGGTTCCGTTGTTGTTGTAGTGCTTGGCATCATTGTAGTAGTTGTTGTTATTGTTGGCAATTCAGTGGTTGTTGTAGTTGCTTCTGTGGTAGTTGTAGTTGGCAACAATGTTGTTGTGGTCGTTGGCATTGTGGATGTTGTTGGAATCATTGTGGTAGTTGTGATGGCTTCTGTTGTAGTTGTTATTGGCATCATTGTGGTTGTTGTACTGACTGTAGTCGTAGTTGTGGTTGTGATAGGTAACGTTGTTGTTGTTATTATGGGAGTGCTCGTTGCAACATCAACTTCGCCGTTTCCAGGAATACAACTTGGCTGGAAGAAAAAATAAAAATGAAATAATTAAAAATGATGTGTCGTGTCGAAATTTTTATTCCCCTTCACCAGGAGCTTAACATTTAAAATATCTAAAATTAATGGGGCTCCTAGGAAAAAAACTCATGTTATGACAGAAAAATATGTTTCAAATGTTCAAAGTATCGAGTTGTGGGCCTATATCGAGCTATATAAAACGGGGATCGATATTGATTTACGGTAGTCAGATTTGACATCCAATGAGAATAAAAAAATAGCATTGAAAATTCTATATCGAAATCTCAAAATAAAATAATATCTATGAAATGTTGAGAATATGGTTTTCCGACCGGAGTGACTGCAATTTGAAATTCGGGATTCTTGATGGATAAATAAATTTTTTTCGCCGAAAGTTTACAATATTGGTCCATACATTGACAGCCCTCATATAAAGGTCCCACCACATTTTCCCATATGTTGAAGGTCCTAGCTAAATATGCAATCTGGAAGGTAATTTACAATGTCAATGTTTTCACCTAAGAATCCCGATCGACTTTAGGTATTTTGAATGTCCACCTCATGGTAGA